AAACAGCTATGTGTATTAAAATCTAGTAGTTGTCTGTGTAGTAATGGATAAGAAAACAGCTATGTGTATTAAAATCTAGTAGTTGTCTGTGTAGTAGTGGATAAGAAAACAGCTTATGTGTATTAAAATCTAGTAGTTGTCTGTGTAGTAATGGATAAGAAAACAGCTATGTGTATTAAAATCTAGTAGTGGTCTGTGTAGTAATGGATAAGAAAATGGTTACGTGTATTAAAATCTAGTAGTTGTCTGTGTACCTTTGGATAAAAACATCGTATTAAAATCTAGCAGTGGTTTATGGAGAAAACCTTTCTATAATCAGCTACATACATTACACACATCAATAATTAAAATACACCAATGTTCTTAAGGCATACAAGAAGCCTGTACTGGAAAACATGAAGATTTCTTGCTGATGTGGCAGTCCTTTACAACTAATTTTTATAACTATTATGGAAATGTAGTGTGTGTTTTCATATTAAGCCCGTGCATGTTAAAATTTTCTTTAAAAACAACAAGGAATGAACCATAAAACAGTAAAGGCGTAATATTTCAGATATTTTTTACATATTATAGTTTCTAGGGCTGACATTATTTCTACACCATTTTTGTAAAAATGAGATTAAAAGAAAAGTTTCTTTAGGTCTATTCAGCAACCAAAACATACTGTTGGAACAGCTGCATGCCAACTTTCAGCTCCAATCACCACTTCATCTGTCAAGTCACTAGGTGGCACCACTGCCCTAGAAGGACTTCCATTTTGAAGATTCATGGGGACACTGAATGTTTCCATATGCTTAAAGGCAAAATTAAAAGAAATGTTTAAAACATTATTTGATAACAATACACAAAATTACACATTATTAAACACTAAACAATAATCTGTTTGCTATTTTTCAGGACTTAAATTTTAAATGTTTCATAGATGTAATTCTCACAAATGATGTTAGCTGTTAGACAAGCATAGATAGGTATTTAAAATACTTAATACTTTTAGTGTTTATAGCATACATATTTACGACTTATAACACCTGTATGGCAGATTAGATGAATTTCGATATTTAGTAAATAAAAATACTTTATTTTACTTTTCCATAATCAAAATAAGCTTACAGAAATAACATACCATTTTCACAAAATACACATTTTAATAAATCACTGGCATCAAAGGTACAAATGTGAAATAAGTTAAACAATTTGACTTAAAAAAAAAAGATTTTAGCATTCCAATTCCCATTCTCAAGTAATATGTATATTTTCTTCTTCTTATCCAAAGATATCTTTACCACACACACTAACCAACAATATAGGTTTGGTTTGGTGGATTTCATGCAAAACTACTCAAGGACTATCTGCTCTAGCCATCCATAATTTTGAAGTAACAGACTAGAAGAAAAACAATTCGTCAATACCAACTCTTGGGCTACTTGTCAGACCAAATAGTGGGACTGGCCACTCTTATAGTGCTTAAACAGCTCTAAAGTGTGTGTGTGTGTGTGGTAAAAGAACATGAAAAACTGTCCACCAACACTATAAAAAATGTAAATAAAAATGAATAACATACAACATTTTTCTATTAAAAATTACACAAAAACATGTTAACACTACTGATAACACATTAATGCTTTATTGTTGGACAGTTATTTCAATAGATATCAAACTAAAAAAAAATTGTTTCTATGACAGCCTACTACTGGTGAGTTGGTCTGGCTAGTTGAATCAACATCCATTTCACTGCTAGCATTCTCAGGAGTTCTTTCTACTTCCACTGCAGGATTTGCAAGGATGTCCTGGACTACAGTGTTGTTTGTGACAAGAGGTTGGCTCTGAACTTCCTGGGGTGGTGCAGAAGCTTGTGTAATAATGTATCTCTGTACATTTTCTGGGGTAGTATCTGGAGACATTGCACCAATCTGGGTTGCTGTTACATTTAACATCCATTGTTGTACCTGGGAGTTGGTATCTCCTGTCATCTCTCGCTATAGAAAAAGAAATAAGTATCACAACTTTATCTTGTTACATCAAACTAAAAATTAACACTTTCTTCCTATCATCTCCTACAGCTACAGAAATGTTGCATAAGCATTATAACATGCACCAAAAATCTTGCCAATAAAAGAAAAGTTTAAAAACAAAAGGGTATTTTTTACAAAATAAAAAAGAATATTCACTCTAAATAAACGAGAGGCCTTGCCAAATGGTATTACTTAATCAAAACTGGATTCTTCACGATTTTAATACACTAATGCTCCTCTGCGAAAAGAAAATTTCTTGTGCTTTATCTTGCTTATATACTTGTTTTAAGCTGAGTAGAAATTTGTATTAATTTAGTATATCTGAAAAATAACCGAGTTAAATAAACACCTTGATAATACGACTTTGTCTCTGTTCTCTAGTAGAGAAACTATGTTAAACATGTCAATTTAAGTTTTATTTATTGTATGTGTGGGAATTACTTCAAACATTACATCACAATAAAGCAAGAATAAAGAGTTAAAAGGTTAAGGGTCTGTACCCTGAAGAATTGGTTATCTGTTGTCACGACATCGAAAAATAAAAATGAACACTTTATCCTAACCAGTTTCACTACACCAAAATAAAACTTATTTTTCATAGCATCTTTCTACATCCAACAATAAAATCACAACTTTATTCCAGTCCTCTCACTGCACAATTAAAAATCAATGTATCCTATCATCTTTCACTAAACCTAAATACTACTATATCCTGTCAACCTACTAGATCAAAATAAAAATCACTTTATCCTGCCATTATACAAAATAAAAATCACTTTATCCTGCCATTATACAAGATCAACATAAAAATCAATGTATCCTGCCATTATACAAGATCAAAATAACTTTATCCTGCAATTATACAAGATCAAAATAAAAATCACTTTATCCTGCCATTATAAAAGATTAAAATAAAAATCACTCTATCCTGCCACTATAAAAGATTAAAATAAAAATCACTCTATCCTGTCACTATAAAATAGATCAAATTAAAAATAACTTTGTCCTGGCATTATACAAGATCAAAATAAAAATCACTCTATCCTGGCATTACACAAGATCAAAATAAAAATCACTCTATCCTGTCATTATACAATATCAAAATAAAAATCACTCTATCCTGTCATTATACAAGATCAAAATACAAATCACTTTATTCTGCCACCATACAAGATTAAAATAAAAATCACACTATCCTGCCACCATACAAGATTAAAATAAAAATCACTATCCTGTTATTATACAATATTAAAATAAAAATCACTTTATCCTGTCATTATACAAAATCAAAACCATTCTATCCTGTCATTATACAAAATCAAAACCATTCTATCCTGTCATTATACAAGATCAAAATCACTCTCTCCTGCCATTATACAAAATCAAAATAAAAATCACTCTATCCTGCCACTATACAATATTAAAATAAAAATCACTCTATCCTGCCACTATACAATATTAAAATAAAAATCACTCTTTCCTGTCATTATAAATATCAAATAAAA